GGGGGAGGCAGCCGGGGCTGGGCTCTCCCTGCCAGACGCTGCTGTTCCAGCTCTCTGCTGGTGCAACATCACGGTGCTATTATTAGACTCCAGTAGGTCTCTGTGGGTAGCTGTGAACTCCCCGATGCCTCCAGCAGCTCAGCAGACACCACAGCAGAGCGGGATCTACCAGCACTGGTGGGGACAAGAGGTCCCAGTGAGCTCAGAGGGGGTGTGGGTGGCAGCGAGGGGCCACAGAGCCCCCCCAGCATGAGAGCACAGGGAGCCGTGCACCACAGCCTGCGCTGGAATAGCAAAAGGCTAACGAGAGGTTTGGCTGATGAGGAGGGCAGAGAGGCCCTCGGAATGCCGGCAGCAAGGAGGGCAGAGCTTGGGGGTCGATGGTGGCTGGGAGAGGTGCTGCCCCGGCAGAGATGCAGGACCCAGGGCTCTGCGTGAAGCCGCACCAGCCGCACCTGAAAACCACATCTGAATTTCACAGCATCGCTCTGAAATGGAAACACGGTGGTCCATCACCGCCATCTTCGGCAGGAGGCACGGGGGACACTGCGACGCCCCATCCCACGCTGGAGGAGGGCTGGGGCTGAGGGGACACGGCGTGTCCCTGCTCCCACCCTCTCCCCCAGCCTGGTTTCCAAGCAGGATTGTTTAAATGCCTTTTATGTTGTGACTCAAATGATGAAAGGCCCGAAAATGGGACTAACAAAGACGAGTTGTACTTCAGAATAAAAAACCCATGAAAGCAGCAGATGCTGTCATAGGAATAAATTGTATCAACAGCGATCAGATGGGAAGTGAAAAGTCAGAACGGAGTTGCTCCCTCTTTCCCGTTTCCAGTGAAAATGTCTGGGTCCGTGAATTTAGCCAGAATCAGGTAGGATGAAAGGCTTTGTCTGACAAGGCATTTCAAAGCATCCAGGAGCCTCCGGAGAAAATGTGGCCACTTGGACAGGGAAACAGAGCCCCTCAGTTTTAATGAGCATTTCAGTCGCCTTCCTTTATCCTTCTGCCAAGATCTTCCTTTTCTTTTTTTCCCCCACCCCTAAAAAAACCCGATTTCTGCTGTTTGTGATTTGTTTTAACTTTGCAAAACGTGCATTTAAGCAACGCGACGTGAGGAGGCCGAGGGTAAACCATCCCTGTCGCTCCATACAGCCTGGCCTGTTGCTTCTTGCCGTAAATATCTCCCCGCTGCTGCCAGCCCAGCCATTTCGGCTC